AAAATGTCACTTCTAACCCCAAGCACACAACCAACCACATGCCTCTGGACATTTGCTATTTCTCCGACTCGGCGTCTAAGGGCCCCGTACACAACAAAAGCACAGCATCCTGGAGACGACTGCGAAACGCAGACATCTCGAGGCTGAGCCGAGGACACTCGCACAAATTTAGCTTGGGAACCGGAGCTCAGGCTCTAGGTCTCCCTGTTGCCGCTGGTGGTCACAGCTTGCACTGGGATGGGCTTGGCCACCGACTTCTCCAAGTCTGGGCACCTCCCCAGGGCCAGAGCAGGCCCGTGCCACCACACCCCACACCTTCTGCTGTGTGGTGCACCTGGGGACTCATCAACTTGCAAGTGCAAAAGAACGAGGAGCAGCTTTGTCCTCGCCCACTGCACAACTCCTTGCAATTAGCACTTTCTAGTCAGAAGAGGTCCAAGACCGAGAGAGCTGGTGCTGTTTCTGGTCACGGTTCAGAAGTACAGGCAGGCATCTTAAGGGAAAGACTGCAAAGGACTTAACATCTGCACAAGCCAGTGCAATGACCTCCTCAGGCTCGTGGACATGCTTCACACACAAATAGTCTACTCGCCTGCCGTGTCTTAGGTGTTCAGACCCTCCCTCGTCACGGTGGGCAAGTGCCTATACCTCAACACACCGTGCTCAGACTAGGAGACAGCAATGAACCTCCAATTTGGGCCTCAAAGGGTCTCTCTCCATCCGAGCTCTGTCTGCTAGAGGAATCTGCCTGGATGAGCTACGTGTGGAACTTGGCACGGAGATACGTGGCCCTTCCTCTCCACACTGGGAAAATGGAGGAAGGCAAAAGCTGTGAAAATTTCCAAGAACTGGTTTCTGGCTTTTGTCTGAAGTTTGTTTCCCCCTCTACATTTTCCAGCCACTATGTTTGCTAGCTCAAATCCACCCTGGCACCGCCATCTGACAATTATATGGGGCTCCACTTCCCAAAAAACAGGTGTCTGTGTCACAAAACACACCCAAGCATTTCGTGGCCCTGGACAAGGTGCCAAAGAGTGGACAACCATGAGGACAGGACTCCCCACTTCCAGCAGGAATCCTCTGAAGCAAGGCAGCCTCCCGAGTCCAGGGCCTCTCCATGGGCCGTCCCTGTTCTGCGCAGAGAGGGCTCCAGCCAGTTCAGGATGTTTCAGGAATAATAAATCCAGGCTTTGTTAATTTAATTGAAAAAAGGCAAGGTGGCAGCAAGCTGGCCTGCATCCACCCCAGGGAACGAGGGGGTTGAGGCTCCTCCTTTCCATGACTCACCTCCTTTGCTGCCTGGGCTCCTTTGCTCATTGTTTTATAAATAAGCACCAACTAGTCCACAGTAAAGTTTAATGGGCTACACATTTAAAGACTTTCTCGGTTGTGTTAGCCCTCACAGTCAGTGCCTGGGTCTATTAACTCAGAAATTGCACCTTTTTTTCAAATTTAAAAGAAAATATGCTGCCAGACTGAGACTTTGAAGCTGCACTTCAGCACACAGCAACCTTTTAGAGCTGAGCCCTAGAGACGGGGAAGCACCCCTGCCCCCAAGTGATTTTAGGGCAGGCAGAGGTGGCTTCTGTCCTCTGTGGTTCACCAATGCTTAGCACGGACAGTCTAGAAAAGAGTTGCACCAGCAACAGCAAAGACTGCTGCAGGCTGCACAACGGACATTTCTATGCAGGATTCAGAGAGAGACTGGCACAGATGGAAATGTGAACATACAGGTGCCAGGAAGAGGAGAAAAGTCCACAAAGTGCTGTTTAGTCGCTATTATAGGTTATGTGTACATGTATACGTATATATGCTACTTCGGCTGCATCTTCACCGGCGATGCTACAAAACAATTTTGCAAGGACTCTTTATCAGCCCGTCCCTTCCTGGCTGAGGTGGCAAAGCCAGTCTGTTCTAGCCACCCCAGCCCGCAGCGAGGGGCGTTTGGGAGCCGGGCCCCAGAGCGCTGCATCCCAGACCGGGAGGGCAGACGCAGAAGAGGCCCGAGGTCCACTGCACACGAATCCAACGCACCGCTCTTTCAGCCCCTCCGAGCCCGTTCCTCCAGCGACGCGGCCCTGATAGACATTTCATCCCTTTCTCCCACTGTTTCATTAACCACTTCCTCGCAGATATTTCTGCCTGATAAGCCTGCATCTTGTCCCTGTCACTGCTCAAAGCCCTCCGGCAGCCTTGCCCACAAACAGGAGTGCCTTGAAATAAAGCAACACACAAGCCTCTGGACCCGCAGCCGTGCACGTGCCTGAATGAGTGGCCCTCCAGGCCTCACGACCTCGTTCTCCCTGCCTGGGTAGTGCCACGTCTCCGCCTGGCCACTGGTTGCAGCTCCCCGGGGCAAGGCTGGATCCACGCAGGCAAGTGAAGATCATCTGTTTATTCCTTCCACCGAATGCCTGAGGGCCCATCCCGCGTGAGAACGCCGCGATTCCACGCACGTAGCGAAACGACAGTCCGTGCCGCTGGGGGGTCGAGCCACATCCGTTCAGCCCCGCTCCTGCCCTATACTCAAAGCCAGAACTCCCACTTCCACACAGACCCCGCTCCACAGCGAGGGACTCACCCCATTTTTTGTTGAGTCCTGTTACAAAGGGATCTGAAATCCTGAACCCAAAATACCCGCCACAGGGTTCACCGGAAAAGCTGGCCGATGCATCACAGACAAGTCCACATGCCCTCCCTCCGGAAAATGAAGACTAGCACCGCGGCTGGGCCGGCGCTTGCCACAGCGCCATAAACACCCATCTGCCAGGCGGCCTCCACCTAGATGGGTCCCAGAGACGAGTCCTGGGTGGCCTCTTGGGACGCCTTAGGCACAGATGTAAATTCTTATATTTGTGCATATATATTCTTATACACAGACATACAACCCTTCACAAGGGCTGCACTGCAGAGTCCCACGCTGCCTTCCCTGTGGTAGCACCCCAACCCCTTCCTTCAAGGCTCCCTGTTCCCTTCCAACATCTTCTCCTGCTTTTCCCCATCATCCCACCTCAGCCTCAGTAACCCACGCTAAATGCCAGACGCCGGCCTCTCAAAAATCACTGAGCCACAGAATCGGAGACGAGGGGCTGGAAGGGAGCTCCACAGCTCACATCTAGTCCCAGCCCTGTGCAAACCAGCCCAGACAAACCCATTGTCTAAGCTCAGACACAAAAAAAGCAGAAAAACCCACCTAACGGGGGGGAAAGGGGGTCAGTAAGGTGACTTTTGCAGGCCCCGTCCCACCCCGACACTGCCTCCCGGGCTCCCCCTTCAGCCACGAGGTCGGGGTAGACGGCGGAGCAGAGGCCCTCCCTGCAGCGTGCGGTTCAGTGCCCGACACCACGGAGCCTTCATTTGGGGGGCCTCCCTGGGTACCCCTGCTGCAAGGCCCCCCGGGACGCCCGCCGAGCCCTCCAACGTAATGTGGCTGCCAGGGCATGGTGAGGTGGCGTCAGGATTTCATTTTGGAGAGCTGGATCCCTCCGGCGAAGCCCTCGGTGCAGCACAGCACAAAAGATCCTCTCTGATTAAATGAGAGCTACCGGCCGCGGGGCTCGCACAGAGATCTTAGGAACAAATAAGAAACCTTGGCTTCCAGGCAGGAAATCCCCTTTACTACACCTTTCTGATTTACACTGATCCCTGATACGCACCACATGTGTCCCCTCCTGCCTTGACCCGCATTCGCAATGGTTCTGTTCCACATTTAAGTGATGAAAAGTTAAGACCTGTGGTTACAACTTCTATGAGAAACTTCATTTTGAAGGGCTGCTACATTTCAACTTTATTGCCATGAGGAAAACTGAAGGAACAAAAGCCTTCAGTCATTCCCCAACCTGAAAAGCCCTTGTGAAGACATTTAATAAGTGTAAGTTCTCTGCCGCCGGTTGTTGAAATGCTGACCTGCGGGTTAAAGCAGCAGCATTTGTTTCTACAAATGTTTTGCACGAACGCTGTCCGCGGCTCTATTCTTCCTCGAGATGCCAGACCACAGTTGGCTTTTGCTCTTAAACTGTCTGCCCTGATACAGCTTCAAGACAAAATCTTCCCTGGAGATGGTAGGGTGGCCTGGACACAGGTAGCAACCCCCCCGCCACCGCGAAACAAGAAAACAAGATACAGAGAGACCGAAAACATGGTGTCACAAGTCCCACCTGCCGGGGAGCAGCAAGAGACCAAGGTGCCGGGGAGCAAGATGCAATCTAAGTTTGGAGAGAAGCAAGAAAAGGATCAGAAAACTGGCCAACGTGCCTGCTTTTTCCATTCGGTGCTTCCCTCTTTGAGGAGATCTGTGCAAACTTCCTCTTTTCTACAGACCTGCCCACTGGGATCTGTCTGGTATTAATTGGCTCCCTAAATAATTACTTATGGAAAATCTTCAGCTAATGGCTCTTTTAAGTTGCAGAGCTACAAAAAAATATTTTAAAAAATAAACAAGCACGAAACAAAAATATTGCTACTTTTCTATCGGTACTTATCGGCTGCTGCTGCTTTATTTAGATGGAGGGCAGAGATTGGGCCTGAAGTTTCTTTGTGTTGATTATTGCTGGCAGAAAGCGTCCCGGGAAAAGTGGCACTTGGAAAAGCTCTGCGGAGGAAACTCCTCGAGAGAGAGAGCGGCACGAACAGAGGCGGCAAAGCCCGTAGCCGGGAAAACATCGGAGATGCTGACATGCTTTGCAGCAGCAGCTCTGCACGACGGGAGCAGCGTGTGTCGGCGGGGGCTCGGGACAAGTCGGAGGAAGGGGGGAGGCAGCGATAATCCTCATCACGCGGACAGCCGCGCTCCCGGCTGCGTCCCCGCCGGGCGAGCCCGGGGCCGCTTGCACCGGCGGAGAAGACGCGGCGGCGGGCGCGACGCACAGGGCAGACGCCGGCGTGCCCCTGC